AATGATATCACTTGTGCTAAAAAGCCCATGATACCAAACCTAGAATTAATACTTGATCTAAATGCAATTTCAGCCTCTCCAAGAAACATAATCTTACTTATCCAGCATGGAATATCCTGTTGAGGTATCAGTAAAGTAATCTGTCTCAGAGTCCCTCTCCACTCCCATAAAAGGAAGTGGCTATCTGCATGATAAAAACCCTTCCGGATTTCTCTTCCCAAAGAAAAGATGTCCCAGCTCACATATTATCCATTCTTTTCTTTTGGTTAATAGCTTCCCTGCCCCAATCATTCTCCTATAAAAACTTCCATTTTGTACAACCCTCCATAAGCCCTTCTAGTTGATAGGTGGGAGGCACTGCCTGATTTGTGAATTGTTTAACAAAGTCAATTAGATATTACTCATTAGGTATTACTAATTTTGCTTTTTTTAAAAATATATTTTATTAACTATGCTATCACAGTTGTCCCACTCCCCTGCTTCATTCCCCTCCACCCTGCGCAACCCCTTGAATTTTGCTTTTTAATCTCATTGACTTTTAAATGAAAATGCAAACTCCTATCTGGGAGTACTAAATATTTCTATCAATTGATATTTTGGAAGATAGTGATTTATATAGGGCCCCTATAACTGCATCTATGAATGCTAAAAATTAACTACATGTTATTGATACAGGGTGCAGCCAGGGGGGGCCCCCAAAAAAGATTTGGAATGGTGTCCAGAATTCAAAGTGTATAGGAATATTGGAGAGACATATAAGATGTCCTCACCACCACCCCCCCCACACACAGGGGGAAGAAAGAATGGAGCCAGGGCCATTGAGAGCTATTTTGCATAGCAACAGTTTTGGAGCTAACCTCTGGAGGAATGGTTATTTAACATATCTATAACCTTTAACTGGTTTCATAGATATGTTAAATAGCAGTGGCCAAGTTTGGAGCCAAGGAGAAGGTAGTGGATGGGGACTCAAGATGGAACTAGCAGGGACTGAGGATGGAACTAGGAGGACTCAAGATGGGAACTAGGGGCTGCTCTCCGGAGTGAGAAAGACTAGGACTCAGGAGGATGTAACTAGGGGCTGCGCTCCTGAGTGAGAAGGCCTGTGTGAGAGCTTGAAAAAGACTGGCTCCAGGACATGAAGGGTCCCCGCTTGGCCAGATGAGAGAGGTGGCCCTCTTGGTGAGGTGAAAGAGAGAGCCACGCGGTTTCAGCAGAGTGAGGACCCCCTCTTGGTGAGGTGGAAGAGGGAGCCACGTGGTTTTGGCAGGGTGCGGACCCCCTCTTTCCCAGGTGAAAGGGAAAAACCACGCAGCTTTGCCAGAATGGAGATCCCCGCAGCCAGGTGAAGAAGAAAGCCACATGCTTTTGGTGGAGTGCGGACTCCTGCAGCTTTGGTAGAAGAGGCCCACGCGGCTTTGGGGTGCCCCCTTTGGCCGCGTGGCCTGAAAAAGCAAGAGAGACTTTGACTGGAACTGGATACAAAGGACTCTTGCCAGTGGACCATGAGAGGGTACCACAGTACTTTGGATTAACTCAAGATCCTGCCTGCACGGTGACACAGCTGACGGTGCCAGCAGCCTACAACACAGACGTGTGCTCTTTTCCTGATTTACGGTACCCGGAGTTGGGACAGTGGGAGAAGGGAGCGCTGTGTGGGTGTAGGTGTATACCCTAAAGGACTTTGATATTTTAGTGGAGGCATTAGGCCTGAATAGCATTAAATAAACATTTTGTTTCCTTTTCACAAATCTCTGGCATTAAGAGATGTCTTTCCAATTGGCGGCGGACAGAAGGGCCCAGTAGATTTTAGTATTCTGTTTTTGGGAGGGGCCCCTGTTGTATAGCAGTTTTGGGCATCCCTAGGTGGGCCAAATATTGTATTGCCCCTCCCTCGGACCACCTCCTCTTGTTGTTCGGTAACATTATCAGAGTTTCTCTGAACGTTGATATCTTCAATGAGACAGAAGAACTGTGGACAATATTAGCATTCATCTAATTTTCTTAATGACCAAAACTCTGAGCTTAAAAACAAAAAGCTTGCCCTAACAGCTGTGGCTCAGTGGGTTGGACATCCCACCCCAAACCAAAAGGTCGTAGATTCGATTCCTGGTTTGGGCACATACCTGGCTTTCAGACCAGGTCCCTGGTTGGGGGGAAACTGATCAATGTTTTTCTCATGAATAAATATTTCTCTCCTTCCCTTCCCTTCTCTGTAAATAAATACGTATCTAAATAAATATGTAAAATCTTTTTTAAAAAGAACTAAAAATTAAACAAGCAAAAAAGTCTTTACTTACAAAGCTTAAGAAAATTAGAACATTTGTAAAAATCTGAATCAGGCCCTGGCTGGTGTAGCTCAGTGGATTGAGCGTGGGCCTGTGAAGCAAAAGTTCCCCGGTTCAATTCCCAGTCAGGGCACATGCCTGGGTTGCAGGCCAGATCCCCAGTGGGGGCCACGTGAGAGGCAACCACACATTGATGTTTCTCTCCCACTCTTTCTCCTTCCCTTCCCCTCTCTCTAAAAATAAATAAATAAAATATTTTTTAAAAATCTGAATCAGGACATCCATTTAGGGTTTTGAGCTTGAGTACGATTTGATTGTAAGTAGTACTGACCAGCCTCATATTAATAATAATAAAAAGATAAGATAATAATAATAATATGATAATAATAATAAAGATGTGTTAAGCACTTTTCTAAGTGTTTGACATAAGTTAGTTTATTTGGTAATTTTATCATCCCCATTTTATTTTATTTAAAAAATTTTTATTGTTGTTCAGTTACAGTTGTCCTCGTTTTCCCCTCACTGCTCTCCCTGCCCTGTCCAGTCCCCCTTCCACATTCAGTCCTTCTCTTCCCCACCTCACACCTCCCCTCCCCGTTGTCCTTCTCCATGGGTCCTTTATACATGTTCTTTCACTTGACCCTTCCCCTTCTTTCCCCCTCCCCTCTGGTCACTGTCAGTTTGTTCTTTATTTCTGATTCTCTCGTTCTATTTTGCTTGTTTGTTTTGCTGATTAGGTTACACTTATAGGTGCATCACTTAGCATAATGCTCTCAAGTTCCATGCACACTGCCGCAAAACATAGGAGCTCCTTCTTTCTTTCTGCTGTGTAGTATTCCATTGTGTAAATGTACCATAGTTTTCTGATCCAGTCATTTACTGATGGGCACTTAGGCTGTTTCCAGCACTTGCCTATTGTAAATAACGAACATTGGGGTACATACGTTCTTTTGAATTGGGGTTTCAGAATTTTTAGGGTGTAATCCCAGTAGTGGAATTGCCAGGTCCAAAAGCAGTTCCATTTTTAGTTTTCTGAGGAAATTCCATACTGTTTTCCACAGTGGCTGCACCAGTCTGCATTCCCACCAACAGTGCACTAGGGTTCCCTCTGCTCCACAAATTTGCCAGCAGGTTTCATTTGTTGATTTATTAATGATGGCCATTTTGGCAGGTGCGTGGTGATATCTCGTTGTGGTTTTAATTTGCATCTCTCTGATGGCTAGTGATGTTGAGCATTTTTTCATGTGTTTCTGGGCCCTCTGTATGTCTCCTTGGAGAAATGTCTGTTCAGGTCCTTTGCCCATTTTTAAATTGGGTTGTTTGTCTTCCTGATGTGGAGTCATATGAGTTCTTTATATATTTTGAAGATCAAACCCTTGTCCAAGGTATCATTAGCAAATATATTTTCCCATATAGTTGGTTCCCTTTTCATTTTTCTAATGTTTTCTTTAGCTGTGCAGAGCTTTTTAATTTGATGAAGTCCCATTTATTTATTCTTTATTGTATATCCCTTGCTTTAGGGGACATACCAGTGAAAATATTGTTGCATGGAATATCTGAAATTTTACTGCGTATGTTCTCCTCTAGGACTTTTATGGTGTCATGACTTATATTTAAGTCTTATTATCCCCATTTTAAAGATGAGGAAACTAAAGCACAGTAAACTAATTTGCATCAGGTCAGTGCATCTAGTGGGACTAAATAGTCTGACGCTAGGAGGTCTAATTTTAGAGTACATACATGTAACCATTACACAGTTATTAATAATAAAAGGTTTCCCCAAGTGGAAAATCCTACTTATTTTTCTTCCCATGGTTAAAATCTTTTCTTATTTCACAATCATTTACATATACAATGTTTTCTGGCACAAGCAAATAGGTGTTCGAGAAAACATTTTTTACTTATGTGTTTGACTGGGTCAGAGAGTTTCATCAACAGCAAAACCTATGCAAACAGCGTACCAAGCAAACAGCATACCAAGCAAAACGTATGTGAAACAAACTTGTAAAAAATGCCTTCCAATCTGGCTGGTTTGGCTCAGTGCTAAGTGTCGGCCTGTGAACCAAAAGGTTGCCAGTTTGATTCCTGGTCAGGGCAAATGCCTGGGTTGTGGGCCAGGTCCCCACTTGGGGGCATGTGAGAGGCAACTGATAGATGTTTTTCTTGCACACTGATGTTTCTTTTCCTCTTCTTTCCTCCCTTCCCCTCTCTCTAAAAAATAAATAAAGCCCTGGCTGGTATAGCTCAGTGGATTGAGTGCAATCTGCGGACCAGATGGTTGCTGGTTCAGTTCCTCCTCAGGGCTCATGCCTGGGTTGTGGGCCAGGTTTCTGGTTGGAAGCATGCAAGAGGCCACTACACATCGATGTTTCTCTCCCTTTCTCCCTCCCTTCCCCCTCTCTAAAAATAAATAAATAAAATCTATTTTAAAAATGTCTTCCTTAATGAGCAGTTAAGCAACTATAATGTAACATCCATATTACATTATATTCAGTCTTACATAGTATACACATGTATGTATTAAATTTAGTTACTGGCTCTTGCTAATCTTTCTCCTATCTATTTGATTATCATCAGACCAGCCAGAAGAACCCTGAGGGTAGATGAACTTTTGTTCCTCCCTCAGTGCCTTGAGACATAATATAGGCCCCAGTCCCTTCAAAGAGATATTATAAAAACAAGTCACTTAAAAAGACCTCTTAGGAGGTCGCCGTGATGCCTGCGGAGCTGGGCGGCTGACCACTATGGCAGGAGCGGGCCCCGGGACCGAATCTCAGCGGCCGCCGCTTGAGCGCTGCCTGCGCCATGGCCACCTCCGCCGCTTCTTCTGAGCATTTCGAGAAACTGCACGAGATCTTCCGCGGACTCCATGAAGACCTACGAGGGGTGCCAGAGCAGCTCCTAGGGACTGGAGGGACAGAGGAGAAGAAGAAATTGATCAGAGATTTCGATGAAAAGCAACAGGAAGCCAATGAGACGCTGGCAGAGATGGAAGAGGAACTGCGATATGCACCCCTGTCTTTCCGTAACCCTATGATGTCTAAGCTTCGAACCTACAGGAGGGACCTTGCCAAACTCCACTGGGAAGTGAGAAGCACCCCTCTGACAGCCACGCCTGGGGGCCCGAGGAGACATGAAGTACGGCACGTACGCTGTAGAGAATGAGCACGTGAATCAGCTGCAGTCTCAATGGGTGTTGCTTTTGCAAGGCACTGAGAGCCTGAACCGGGCCACCCAGAGTATTGAGCGTTCTCATCGAATTGCCAGAGACTTACCAGATTGGCTCAGAAATTATAGAAGAGCTGGGGGAGCAACGGGAGCAGTTGGAACGCACCAAGAACAGACTGGTAAACACAAGTGAAAACCTGAGCAAAAGTCGAAAGATTCTCCGGTCAATGTCCAGAAAAGTGACAACCAACAAGCTACTACTTTCCATTGTCATCTTACTGGAGCTGGCCATCCTGGGAGGCTTGGTTTATTACAAATTCTTTCGGAAGCATTGAACTTCCTGCAAGGAAGGCTTTGTGGACCAGAACTTTGAGCTTGTGAATGAACGGTGGTAAAGATGTGGAGTAAGCATATTGCTGCTGTGAGCTAACGGTTCAAGGACGCACTGTGTAGCCAGACTGTGGGACCAGGGAGGGAAGACGGACAACCAGTTAAATGTGAAGGAACTGCAACGAGACCAGTGTGATATACCAAGGTAATAAATGCTGTTTATGATTTCTTTAAATAAAAAAAAAGACCTCTTATTTCTTTATTTTCTCAATTTGTTTTTACCCCTTCCTACTGTGGTTGAAAAAGGGGCCACATACTAAATCTGACAAGCTCAGAGGGGGCCTGCATGTCAGGCCTTACAAATTCAGAGACAGAAAGTAGCAACAGGGGATGGTCTGAAAATGAAACTTCCTGATAAAAGCAGGTCCTGTCAGTTAGTTAGTCCTAGGTCTCTATCTTTTTTGACAATGTCCAGTGTTTACCTTAACCAAGCTTGTCCATTGTCTTTCACATCTAAGACAGCATACCTTTAGAATGTCAAAGTAATCCCCTTTTCTAGACCCCTCAGGGCACAATCTCCAAGCAGAACTGGAGACCATGGAACCCCTCACTGTTTTCTTCTCCCTCATCCCATTTCATGCATGGCAAATTTTCAAAAATATTTTTTACTAATTGATTTGAGAGAGAGAGAGAGGAAGATAGAACCATCAATTGGTTGTACCACTTATTTATGCATTCAGTGGTTGATTCTTTTTTAAAAAAATATTTTATTTTATTTTATTTTTTAAAGAGAGGGGAAGGGAAGGAGAAAGAGAGGGAGAGAAACATCGATCATTTGCCCTGACCGGGAATTGAACTAGCAATCTTTCAGTTTACAGGCTAGCACTCAGTACACTGAACCACACCAGCCAGGGCTCACTGGTTGATTTTTGCATATGACTGACCAGAGATCAAACCCTGGCATATTGGGACCACACTGTAACCAACTGAGCTACCCAGTAAAGGCTATGTGCTATAAATATTCATCATTACCTATCCTGTCTCCACCATTGTAAAAAGGGTACATGTCCATTAACTTTTTATCCAATCTTATAAATTACCCCGTTTTGCTTTCTCCTTCCTCTCTGGATATATCACCAATGAATTTCATGTAACCCCCTTACATACTCTCCTCTGATTCTAATGTACAAAATAAATGGTAAAACTGCCATTTTCAAAATCTGTTAAGATTTTGCATCCCAGAAAATGTTGTCAGTTTGGCTCAAAGAAACTCATGAAAATTCTTACAGGTTTGGATGGTTCTTATGTCAATGCTACTAGTGTTTTTCTCCATTTTTTCCTTTGTCTCTTTGTTCACCTTTTAATACTCATTCTAGTAATGACCTAAATCTGGCTTCTTATAGGTTAAGCCTTCTTAAACACACTTGCCATGTGTTCTCCTTCTGACTTTGAAGCACAAGATTTTATCCTGGGGTCATTTTTCATTATGCTAATCCTTGTACAGGCTACAAAGTGCTTTTCAGTTGATAAGTCTTACATTTCGTACTTAGTGCTTATTTTACTATTATGGAATAAATTGGTCATTTGAGTAAATATCTAAATGTTATAAAAATAACATATAAATTATCTGGCCCAGATTCTTTCAACTATGAAATTACATTTCATGTAGTAATTATCTTTCACATGACTGATCATTATACAATTTACACAGGGACTTTTTTATACATAATTTTGGAGACCCATCTTAATGTTTGAGAAATATTTCCAGTAGAATAGCTCATCTCTTGTTACTACCTCTTCCACAATTCCACCCAGAATACTGCTTTTTTGTCATCTCAGTGCATATACAGATGCCTAAAACCTCAGAATTGTCTTGCTCACTACCTCAGGTCCAAAGAACCCTGACTACCATTCCCTTCTGGTATAGCAAAGAGTCAAAGGGTTGTACAGTTTGGGAATGTATAGAAATGTAGAATTCAGGACAATAATATCACAAAGAAAGGTAAACCACATGTAGCCTGCATTTCAATTAGCAGATTCAAAAAACGAGAAGAGACCATTAAGTCCCTTTCCTTCTAATGAACCTTGAAGAGCAAAAGAAAGCCTTATTAAGCTTCTGTGAGTAAAGGTTTCCAATAACTGAATCAAGTATTAGTATTAAAATTTAAATTATTAAAATAATGCAATGGTAGAAAGGTTTTATTCTTTAAATTTTTTATTGAATTTATTGGGGTGACATTGGTTAATAAAATTACATAGGTTTCAAGTGTACAATTCTATAATATATCATCTGTATATTGTATTGTGCGTTTATCACCCAAGGTCAAGACTCCTTCAGTCGCTATTTATCCTCCCTTTACCCTCTCCTATTGCCCCCACCCCCCCTTTAAAATTTAAGTTTAAAGCAAATAAAATTGAGGATAAAGATGTCTGAAAACTGAATTATGGTGATAGCTGCATTAGTCAGTAAGGTTCCTGAAAAAATCAGTGTATTTTACACTTGAAATGGGTGTATGTAAAATATACTTCAATAAGGTTGTCTTTTAAAACTACAACAAAAAATGAAAAGGAAATAATATTAAGAATGCAGTCCCTTAGTTACACTAGCTACATATCAAGGGCCTAAAAACCACATGTGGCTAATGGCTACTGTTTTGAACAGCATAGATCTATGACATAAAACTTTTCTATGCTGCTTTAAAATACTTACAACATATAGCCCTGGACAGTGTGGTACAGTTGATCGGAGCATTGTCTCCTAACTGAAAGGTTACAGGTTTGATCTCCAGCCAGGGCAAATAGCTAAGTTGCAAGTTCAATACCCAGTCTAGGTATGTGTAACTGGTAATCAACTGATGCTTCCCTCTTGGTGTTTCTCTCTCTCCCTTCGTTAATCCCTTCCTTTCTCTCTAAAAGCAATGAAAAAAAAAAGATCTTCAGGTGAGGAAATTAATTAATTAATTAATTGATTAAATACAACATATATAAAAACCAAAACAGAAATCACACAGGACATCTGGCCAAGATAAAGGCATAGATAGATACACTTTGCCTCATTGAACAACCAAAAGAAAGACAATAACAAATTTAAAAACAAAAAGTAACCAGAACTGCCAGAAAATTAAACTATATGGAAGTCTGGCAACCAAGGAGTTAAAGAAGAAACATTCATCCAGATCAGTCGGAGGGGTGGAAAGGGGCAGCTGGGGCCGAGAGGATGTGCAGTAAGGTTGCTGCTAGAGGCTTAGGGCAGGTGAGGCAGTGCCTGGCAGACTGCGTGGTCCCACATTTCTGTGAGGATAAACTGGGAGGAACAACTGAGGAGTGAGACAGACCACACAACCCAGGGTTCCAGTGTGGGGAACTAAAGCCTCAAAACCTCTGGCTGAAAAACCTGAGGGGGTTGTGACAGTGGGAGAAACTCCCAGTTTCACAAGAGAATCCTTTGGATGGGCCCACGGTGTCCTAGAATATACACAAACCTCCACATCAGGGAATCAGCGCCAGAAGTGTCCAATTTGCTTGTGGAAGTGACTGAAATCTGGACAAGAACCAAGCAAGTGGCATTGTTCCCTCTCTGACCCCCACCCCCACACATGGTGCCACAACACAGCATAGTGTGTTGTGCTGCCCTGGTGCATACCTAAGACTCCACCCCTTACAACGTAACAGGTGTGCCAAGACAAGAAAATATGGCCCAAATGAAAGAACAGGTCAAAACTCATATAAAAGAACTAAGGGATAAGGAGATAGCCAACCTACCCGATGTAGAGTTCAAAACACTGGTAATCAAGATGCTCACAGAAGTGATTGAATATGAAAGAAGTCAAGGCTATACAAAGTAAAATAAAAAATATATATTTATAGGAAATCAATAGTGAAGGGAAGGAAACCAGGACTCAAATAAATGATTTGGAACAGAAGGAAGAAATAAATATTCAACTGAAATAGAATGAAGAAACATGAATTCAAAAAAATGAGGAGAGGCTTAGGAACCTCTGGGACAACTTTAAACATTCCAACATACGAATCACAGAAGTACCAGAAGGAGAAAAGGAGGGGCAAGAGTTTGAATACTTATTTGAACAAATAATGAAGGAGAACTTCCCTAATCTGGCAAAGGAAATAAACTTCTAGGAAGTCCACGAAGCTCAGAGAGTCCCAAAGAAGGTGGACCCAAGGAGGAACACACCAACACACATCATAATTAAATCACCCAAGATTAAAGATAAAGAGAGAATCCTAGAAGCAGCAAGAGCTAAGGGGACTGTCACCTACAAAGGAGTTCCCATCAGACTGTCAGCGGATTTCTCGAAAGAGACCTTACAGGCAAGAAGGGGCTGGAAAGAGGTATTCCAAGTCATGAAAACCAAAGACCTACAACCAAGATTGCTCTATCCAGCAAACCTTTCATTTAGAATGGAAGGGCAGTCAAAGTGCTTCCCAGATAAGGTCAAGTTAAAGGAGTTCATCATCACCAAACCCTTATTATATGAAATGTTAAAGGGATTTATCTAAGAAAAAGAAGATAAAAAATATGAACAGTAAAATGACAGCAAACTCACAGTTATAAACAACCACACCTAAAACAAAAACAAAAGCAAACTGAGCAAACAACTAGAATGGGAACAAAAATCACAGCAATGGAGATCACATGGAGGGTTATCAGTGGGGAGGAGGAGTGGGGAGAATGAGGGAAAATGTGCAGGGAATAATAAGCACAAATGGTAGGTACAAAATAGAGACAGGGAGGTTAAGAATAGTATAGGAAATGTAGAAGCCAAAAAACTTATATGTACAACCCATGAACATGAACCAAGGCAGGGGGATGCTGGAAGGAGGGTGGTGCATGGCGGAAGGGGGTGAAGGGGAGAAAAAAATGGGAAAACTGAATAGTATATTCAATAAAATATACTAAAAACATAACAGAAAAGTTAATAAACTTTTTAAAATTGAACATAAAATAAAATAAAATAATTCTCATTCCAGAGAGATACATTTTGATGTGGCAAATTTTGCTTCCCTATAAAGTACATTAAGTCTAGTGAAAAAAATATGAAATGTTCTCCACTCACTCTAAAATGTCATGACAAAGTCAAGGATAAAATAGGAAGGAACTGGTTGCTTGTAAGGAGTAAAAGGAAATGTTTAAAAAATAAACAAAAATCAGAGATTCAGAAAAGAGAGAGCAAGATTACCAAACACAAACTGGGCCTACTTCATAATTTTGGGCAGCACTATTATAATGGTGTTCAGAGAATATTCCCCATAAACCTGGTTTAGAGGATGGGAGAAGTGACTCACAGGGATTGGGATATTTTGCATATCTATGGCAATTTGGCTAGCTTCATAGTTATGTTAAATAGCTGTGCTAGGGACCAGGGAGATGGGCTTTACTTTAATCCGTGATGTGGATTAGGGGTTTGCTGCACCTGCACCAGAGTTTAGAGGCAGTTTGCTCTGCTTTATGGGGCCATGCCAGTGAAGACTAATAATGACAGCCAGAAAAAGGCAGAAGATATGGGGTATGGGCAGATGTAGCCCATTGTGGAAGGAGTTGGAAATAGGGTTGTGTTGGAAGCTCAGGGCAGGGATTTGAACTAGGCAGGGAAGCCATTCACTCTGTTGGCCACAAGGGGAGTAGTAGTGAGGGAGGTGGCATGCTATCTGCAGTAAGGGATTTATGCCATGCAGCTTGCAAGGGAGTGGAAGAGCCATGAGGGAGAGATGAGGTAACAGCCATGAGGCTTTCTCCCTCTCTCACTCTCTCTTGCTCTGCCACATGGCTTGGGAAGGTGAAAGGGAGTTAACTATGCCATTTGAAAGAGAGAAGAGAGAAGGGACTTGCTTAAACTATATAAGCAAGCAGCTACATAGTTTATAGTAAGGAAGGAGGCCACGTGGCCTGGACTAATAAGAAAAGAGATGCTGCTTCTGTGATCATTTCTGCTTTAGCTGACTCTGAAGCTCCAAAGGATTTCCTTGCAAGATCCTGATCTGCTACGCCTGAATTTTACCTGGACTCTTGGGACTTGTGCCTTTTCTGGACTATTACATGAAGCCTGATGACCACATACCCCAGATCCTGAAAAAGAGAGCTGCTCTATGAGGATGGTAATTTTGGTTCCTCTCAGAGAGACTGGAGAACTGTTTGTGCAGCTGGATGAAGATCAGATAAGAACATGGTAAACTTTTGGGAATGTTTTTGGCTAGTAGCCTGATGGAGATCTTGGGAAGTGCTGGGTCTAGTGGGAAAGAAGGGTTCCAAGCTGAGGTACTCTAAGCTCTCCCAAGGTTGGAATGTTATAAATAAAGACCTGCTTCTTCCAGCATTAATTGTTCGGTCTTACACCAAGGTGACCCATGAATGGGCCCCGTCTGCTCTGTAACATTATGTCTGCTTAGATCATTCAATAAACCTTATTGGAAAGAAGACATTATAAAGGAGCTTGGGCAAGAAGCAATCTTGGGTGCAAAAAAGGACAGTTTTGCCCTAACTAGTGTGGCCCAGTGCGTTGAGCATTGTCTCACAAACAAGTAGTTTGCTAACTCAATTCTGTCAGGGCACATGCCTGGGTTGTGGGTGTACAAATGGCAACTAATCAATGTTTCTCTCACATATTGATGTTTCTCTCCCTCTCTCTCCCTCCCTTCCCTTCTTTCTGAAAATAAATAAATAAAATCATTTTTAAAAAGTCCAGTTTTTATAACTCTGTCACTTTGACTTGGGAAAATATTATATTGTGTTTATACACTTTATCTGGGAAACTTGTGTTCTGAAATATTTCTTTTTTTTTTAAGATTTTATTCATTTATCTTTAGAGGGGAAGAGAAGGAGAGAGGGAAAGAAATATCAATGTGTGGTTGCCTCTCGAGTGTCCCCCCACTGGGAACTGGCCTGCAACCCAGGCATGTGCCCTGACTAGGAATCAAACCTCGACCAACTGGTTCACAGGCCCGTGCTCAATCCACTGAGCTACACCAGCCAGGGTTTGGATGATTTCAATACTTTCTAATGATCTCCTCCATATAAAAAAAAGATGTTATTTATTTATTTTTAGAGAAAGGGGAAGGGAGAGAGAAAGAGGGGGAGAGAAACATCAATGTGTGGTTGCTTCTCACACTCTCCCTACTGGGGGGACCTGGCCCACTACCCAGGCATGTGCCCTGACTGGGAATCCACCGGGCAATGCTCAATCCAGTGAGCTGTACCAGGCAGGTGGTGTCCTTCACTTAAAAAAAAAAGATTTTACTTACTTATTTTTAGATAGAAGGGAGGGACAAAGAGAGGGAGAGAAACACCTATGTGCAATTGGCTGCCTCCCACATGCCCCCAACTGGGGACCTGGCCCATAACCCTGGCACGTGACCTGACTGGAAATGGAACTGGCGACCTTTTGGTTCATAGGCTGGCACTGAGTTCACTGAGCCACACCAGCCAGGGTATTTCCTCCACTATTTTATTTTATATTTTATTTTATTTATTTTATTTTATTTTAATTTTATTTTATTATTTGACATGGTGTAGGGAAGTCAAACAGGGTCCATTAAATAATTTTTCACCTTCCTGGGAAGCCCTGCATTTCATGTCAGTAAGCAGAATGGGAACTTTCCCGATGCACGCAATGAATCCATGAAAGAGAGAATTTCATATAATAGTTGAGAACATTTTCCACTTAATATATAATTGAAGGTAGTGACTAGCCATGCAGGATTTTAAAGAACATCTAATTTTCAAGTATCAAGTCCTATTGTGGTATAATTACATCCCAATGTTGGGTTTAGAAACTATAGTTACAGTAAAATGGGACATACACGTTCTTTTACTTGAGAGGATTCTGACACGTGTGGATTGAGTAGACCCACTGATCCCACCAATGGAACAGGGTTTGTTCTCTTCAGAGAGATCTCAGGGCTCCAGAAGATTTCTTCCCATTGTTACCCTTCAGGGACTGATTTAAAGAACATTCTCCTGCCCTGGCCAGGTTGCTCAATTGGTTGAAGCATCATCCCACACGCCAAATTGTTGTGGGTTTGATTCCCTGTCAGGGCACATCCCCAGTTCATGGAGTCCCAGTCAGGGTGCATGCGGGAGGCAACTGATTGATTTATCTCTCTTTCTCTTTCTCTCTCTCTCAAATCAATAAACATATCCTTGAGTGAGGTTAAAAAAAAAAGTAAAGATCATTTGCCCAATACCAACAAATTTCTATTAATTACAAATGAACCAAATCTATTTTCAGCTTTAGTTTTAGTTGAGAAGTTGGTATGTTAAGGAATCTTTTAGCTGTTTTCTCCAACAACAATATGCATAGAGAAAAGCCCTGAAGAGCCTTCAAGCCCTGATCTACAAAGAGTTAACATCTTAAGAGCTAAAAAGAACTGTATTAACTCCTCTCTTAATAAGCCAGGCAGACAAGAGGATTCTGTACTACTAGAGGTCACCACAAAAGTCAGAGAAAAGAATTGTAGAGAGCTCTCTGGGAGCAGCAAAAAACTGTAAGTCTATATTTAATACATATTTATGGTCTCTCATTTCTTTCCATGGTGTGTTTTTGAGAACAGTGAAATAAGTGTATTCATTTTGTATTGTACCACAAATATCCCAGGTATCAGGCACATTACTAGGTCATCTTTAATCCTGTCACTGTCTTTACTCCATCCCACGCCCAACTAACTGTAAAGTCTTTTGATTTTCCTTCCTCGAGGTCTCTGTGATCCATCCCACTCTGCCAGCCCCCAGCCACTATCCTTTCTAGTTCAAAGACTCTGGCTTGAATCATGGCAATATCCCTGGACACTCCTCCTCTGTGCCAGTATTTCTGACTCATTAATCGCAGATGAATCTTCTTGAGTTTTAATTTTAGTGCTCTTGTGCTCAAAATGCATACATTTCCTGGCCATTTTGACAGAATAAATAAAAGACCTGTAATATAAATGCAAGGTCTTCCAAAACATGCACTTAAATTTTCACAACTCTTTCTCAAACTCATCATGCCTACCCGCTATTGTGCAAGACCACTCTGCTTTTTGCCCCATCCCTGACTCTGTTCCAACTGTCCTTTTTGTAAGGAACATTTAGTATCTCCACATGCCACACCCTTTCCCAGACTACAACAACCGTCCCTCCATAATATTTTATTTGATCCTTCAAGTGAATATGAATCTCAGTCTTCCTTTCCACTCACACTTTGTTTTGTTCTGCTCTGATTGATTTGATATATATTTACCTTATAGCTAAACATGTGCTCTTCTCATTTTTCTCTTAATTATTCACTTCCTAGAGCAAGGGCTCTATTTTTCTTCTTGTAGCAACTGAAAAAAAAATGGACACACAGTAATGTTTGTCAAATTAAGTTCAGTCCAAATTGCAGGAGTTCTTATCATCACTTTGGAGCATTCATACAATGCACACTGCAATAACAGAGCCTGCTCTACTCCCTAAAGCTTCTCTTTAGCTCTACTCCAAGTTTCTTCCTCAGTGCTTATCTTTTATTTTCCTCTAACCTCTTATGTAAGGTTGGCTCCGCCTAGTTCCCTAGCTCACTGGAAAACCATGTTCTTTAAGGGTCTCTTCCTAATCAGTCTCTTTCTTCCCCCAGAACTTTGACTAGGAGGAGCCCAACTGCAGTCTCCCTTTCAGAAACTTGAGTATTCATTGGGACTTTTAACATTAACTCCTTGTACAAGGAGACTTGATTTCCTAGTCCATAATAAATTAAAGTGTTAAAAGTGTACTTCTCACAGGCCTACTTAGTCCTTGAATTTTTAAAGGACAGAAATATTTTGGGCAGCATGATTTCCTATACTCTGTTAAAATGCTACTGACATTTCTTTAAGCAGATTTATCACCTGATTTTTTTTCTTCTCCTCTCTCCTACTCAAATCTGTGTTCTTGTGGGGTAGAGGGATTGATTTAAAACTTTGTAAAGTAATTAAAACAAGTTGTAAAAAGAAAAACAATTTCTATCACAATTCAATGTTATAATACTATATCTGCTGAAAATTATTATATACCTGCAGGTACAAGGTACTGTACTGGGTACTATCTATACCAAGATATCCTCAAAAGGGCTTATAGACTATTAAAGAGACCACATGATGTATCAGCACTATAAGGAGCTGACTCACATTAACCAATGCATACAAAAAACATATAGTATATAATAATATAAACCATTAACTTATACTGATACATACAGCATAGAATTATCAATTCACCAGAGACTAGTTCAGTGGAAACAACAAAATTAGCCAGCATTTAGCTGGTATGGAGCCTCTATGAAGTGCCAAGCATTATGCTCAGCTTTTTATAGGCATTATCTCAGTTGATCTTCATCAATATTATATAAAGAGAGTATTTTTCCCTATTGAATAGCTAAAAAACTAAAAGGTGGTTAAGTCACTTGTCCATTGTCACACAGCAAAGGAAGGATACCAATCCATGTCTTTCTTATTCCTAGGCTCTTGGTCACAGCCACTATTTACAATTCATCCTCTTCACATTTAAATAGAAGTGAGTATAAAATCAGAGTAAGGCTACATAATTTTAATTGCTGGTGTCATCAAGCTGGCTTTATGCCTGTATCAGTAGTAAAGGGTTACTCTCCACCCTCACTCACCGGCCCTTGTCCCAGGGCACTGCAACTTTGAGTATCAATTCTGCAAGGGAATTCTTTCAGCCTTTCATTCCATTGAGTTAACATACCTGATGAATCCTCCTTTCTTACATCTGCTGTCCACTCCTTTTTTCCCTGAGAAACTAAATCTGGCTGTTGTTGGATTTTGGATGTTTCTTCAACACACCTTCACTGACAGTCTGTCCTGGGTTTCCTTTTATGACATTCTTATAAACTCCACTTCATTCTTAGAACTTCTTTGACTTCAGCATTAATGGTATTTTTCAGCTGCTCCACAGTAGTATATAGCTTTGGTGGTATATTTTGGAAGAATTATAACCAACAGTCTTTCCTGGGCCAGATATTAAATAACTACAGCATCTCTTCGCCCACTACCACTCCATTTTTGCAAATGGCTTCAGATCCAGAGAGCCAAACCTGCAATGCAGTTACTTCTCCTTTCTCCTTCATGATACTTCTCTACAGAAGGAGGATGAGAAGACAGAGTAACTTAGTAAAACTGCAAAAGCTACCTTAAATGTGAGATTTCCTTGAAAACAAAGTGGTCTCCTTGGTTGCTTTTATTCTGTTTTAATTCTAGAATTATTATCTAACATGTGAGAATACATCAATTTTTGCATAATTGTTCAGCTTTCTTAAAATAGACATGCTATGAAATCTGTATAGATCCATTTAAAATTACATCACTGGAAAGATATTCTCCACTTATTGGGATTTAAAAAAATGAAACATTATAGAACAGAATATGAATGACCCAATTCAAGTTATTTGGAAAGTAGATCAACAAAATGTTAATGTTTTCTCCCAGTGGTAGAATATCATGTTTTTTACCTTTTTTTATATTCCTCTGTTTGTTTAAAACAAGTTTGTGAACAGTCTTCTCAGTTCACAAGTCAAGCCAGCTTCAGAAAAAAGGGGGAATTTGTTGCACAGGATACAGGACCCTCCTATAGAACAGAAGGACAGGAGCAGAGACAGGCTATGGAAAAGATGGAAATCAAAAACAGAAAAATTTCAACACTTTTGGACTCATCTCAGCCAGTCAATGTCATTCTTTCTTGATTTGTTTATTTATTCATTTATTCATGTATTCTCCATATATTTGCTGGGTGCCTAATATGTTCTAGGAGCTGTTTAGGTACTGGGAAATAGAAATTAACAGTATAAACCAATTTTCTCCCTCCAAAGTCCTTATGTTTTCGTGAAAGGAGATAACCAAGAAACATGTGTGGAAAATGAAGGTAGTTTCTGAGTATGGTAAATGTTACAACGGTAAATAAATAGGGCAGTATGACAGTAGGACTCACTTTAGTCATGAAGGTCAGAGAAAGTCCGCTTGGCAGAAGAAAAGATCCTGAGAGACTGAACTAGCCCTGGAAAGAGCAAGGAAAGAGCATTCCAGCAACCTACAAAGGGCCTGAGGCAAGCAGGAGCTTGATGTCTGGGGGAGCAGAGAGGAGCTTGATGTCTGGGGGCCTGTGGCCATGGAATGCAGTGAACTAGAAGGTGTAATCTGAGAAACAGAAGGAAGGTCAGATGGTAGAGAGCTCTGTAGGCCACAATAAGGAGTTTCTATTTTATTTTAAAGCTTTTATTTATTCATTTTTAGAGAGAGGAGAAGAGAAGGAGAAAGAGAGGGAGAGAAACATCAATGTGTGGTTGCCTCTTGAGCGCCCCATACTGGGGACCTGGCTGGCAGCCCAGGCATGTGCCCTGGCTGGGAATGGAACTGGAGACCCTCTGGTTCGAAATCCACACTCAATCTGCTGAGCCACACCAGCCAGGGCCTAGATTTTAGTTTAAATGTGAAAAAAAGCCACCGGACAATTTTACGCAGGAGATGCAATGAATTAGTTGTTTTATTAAGATCAATCTGGTATTTCAGGGAGATTCAGTGGGAGAGGGATAGAGAGCAGAAAATGGGAGGAGCATTAGGAAAACATGGTATTGAAGTTGAAGAGACAGAGATAGCTTGAATTATAGTGATAGCTGTGGAGATAATGTGATGTTTTTTAGAAAGTACCTAGAGGATTTGGTAACGAATAACAGAAGGGAGAAATCAAGGCTTTGGGAACTGGTAGGTTAGTAATGCCATTTAAAAAGGTAAAGACTGGGAGATCATGTTTGAGAGAGAAAGCAAAATTTCTGTGTGAGACAGGTGAGTTTAAAATACCTAGTGGTCATGCAAGAGGAAATATTTAAAAGAGAGGAAGATCAGCAAATTTGAAAGACAGGGCTGGAGATAAAAATTTTGGAAACAATAGCACACACACACACACACACACACACACACACACACCATTTAAAGCCAGGATATTAGACACTGTAATCCAGAAACAGAGTGCTGACCAAGGTGTAAAGTGACTTTACAAATAGATTTCCCTGGTAAATCAGGCTACAAAGCTGAATATTACCACCCTAGATCTCCCAATTTTACATAATAGTTCTAGTCATCCACTGAGGCCCCATTTCATAGCCCCATTCCAACCAACTGAGAAACAGAATCTGATTGGCCCAGCTTGGGTCACTTTTCTACCACTGGTCCGATGAACAATGACTGGGGACTGGATCAAGGAGTATAAACTGGAGATCTAGTCCCTGTAAATAGAATGCGGATGAGAGGGCAGAGGCTCATTTCCCAGAGAAAGGGAATGGTCATTGGCTTCCAGGCTGAGAAGACATTTAATGAATGATCCAAATTGAAATACATCAGTTCTATAATTAGAAAAAACTGATTTCATTTTTTAAAGTGATGTCATTATTACTATAGGCTTGGTCTTGCTCTTTGGTATAGACTGTGGTCTCATACCACCACTGCAACACTATGAGTGTCATATACCATCATGAAAGTGTTGAGAA